TACAAACTTATACACTACATAATTACAAACACTTTCATACAAACACAGACACTAATATACTTATGATCTCACCAACTTTAAAGCTGATAAACTCTTTCAAAATAACTTGTATTCTCAGGTCACCAGTAGACAGACAGTACCGGTGCCAGGTTTTGAGAAGATGGAGCTCGTTCAAGACTCATCTTTTATTTTGATTCATATTTTTGGTGTCTATTAAAGTTGACAGAACACACTTGTATTAACAATTATAATATTAATGCAATGGATGATGTTGTTGCTTGTTTACTACTTTGCATTGTTGTGATATTGTATATGACGTCCTCCACCCCCGAATGATTCCGCCGTTCCGGTTTTGGGGTGTGACATTCTCCAGCTCGAGCAGGTTTTGGGATGAGCAATACTTGCACTTGAAATGCACCAAAAACTTTGCCCATGTCAGCTGCCGGGGCTCATTGGGGCTTAAGGTCTTCCCCAGGGTGTTCCACCAACGAACAGCGCCTCCCCGGAACTGGCGCACTGCGAATGTGGTCTGTAGTTTGCCTCTGCAACCACACATCATGAAAGTCAACTCCATCTCCGAGATCCAATCCATAACTCCGATCGGATCTTCCTTCCCGGTGAAAGTCGATGGCTTGCAAGTTAGAAAGTTCTTGTACTTGCATCCATTCCTCTCGACTCCGTCGTCCTGGTTGTTCCTCCTAATCGCCGGTGTATCATCTTGACCAACGGTCCTACTATAGTTTCCCTCCTCAGACTGCCCGTCACTCAGCTCGGGTTGTTCAACAGGCATCGTGGGCTCATCCCGATTCTGTTGAAGTAATCGCCTTGTTTCCTCCATTTGATGATCCAACATTGTCTGGATCATCGCTTGCACTCCGGCCATTGTGATTGGTTCGGGAGCGGCTACCACCACGGGTATTTGCTCAACCACTGGTGGTTGATTCCTATTCCCATTCGCGTTCCCGGCTCCACTGCGGGTTCTTGCCATTTCGATCTATACACCCATTTAAACGTTTGGTGTGTAATGACGAGAATTAAGATAGGAAAGATTTTATTGACGTTTGACGTATAAATCTCCCTATTACCCTGAAAAGTTATATGCCAGTTCTAATACCGTATTTAAACTTTTAGAAACCTGAACACATAAAGTTTCCAGATCCGGTCAGCAACAGACCATAGATCCGATCATATAATGCATATCATAAATCATTTAGCACATAAAAACATGTTAGGCATTTTCCCTAAATAAGCTAGTGCTTGTGTCTATTCAGGTGTACTACCTAAAATATATTAGACACGCTCCTCACGATCATCGTTTAGCATTCTAAGTTTAAGTCTAGAAATAAATCCATATTCCTAGTTCGCTTAAACTAATGCTCTGATACCAACTGTGACATCCCCATTTTCACGGCCAGAAAAGACCGATTTGTTTATGCTTTATTTTGAAAATCAGAGTAACCTTTAAAAGAAAAGTGTTGCGGAATTTGTTCCCAGTAAAACATGATAAATACGTTATCAAAGCATTTCCGAAGAAATGTATTTTTTTTATTCATTTCTAAAAACATTTGGGATGTCATCGTCAATACAGAAACATAAGCATAAACATAACTTACATTCATTTACACTAGTGATCTACATCTCTTTTAAATCTCTCAGTGTAATGTAACTTCATATCGACACCTGTGATAGAAATAAGCTGGAGTGGGTCAGGTTGGGAAACCTGGTGAGTATATAGGGATTTCAATCCCACAATATTATATCATATATATAATTTAGAACTCACAAAATATACAATTCAACACCATATATATATATATATATATATATATATATATATATATAATATATATATATATATATATAAGCAACTCTTACCCAACCACGTTAATCCTTACAACGAGACTATCCATAACTCGACCTTAATTTTACCTCTTACTTAACCCATACCTCGGATCTAATTCATGCTCTCGGTTCAATAATTGTGCCCATTCCATACTCTCGGATTAGGGACAAGTGTCTATGTGAAATCCATTCTCCCGGATTAACGACGAATGACTATGTCCTATCTATACTCTCGGACTGAGGACGATTGACTGCGTCTTAATCCATACTCCCGGACTAAGGACAACTGACTATGTCTTAATCCATACTCCCGGATTAATGACAGTTGGTTATGTCCAATCCATACTCTCGGATTAGGGACAATGACTATGTCTAATCCATGCTCCCGGATCAATGATATATACTAAAGTTCTATTCTCTGAGTATAACTCACTTGTACTCGTAAGAAAATACTGCTCAATATTCCTCATAGTTAATTTAGGTTTACTCTTTATCCTAAATCATCATATATAATCAGGTATGTTCTTTAACACGTATTTCAGACAACATCAATTAACTCGCACATAAACATATAATTAATACTTCAATCATACTGTATTAAAATCATGTTCATGAAAGGGACTATGCACTCACTGATTAGGTGGTGATTCCGAACTCAGACAGCGCTTCGTTATCTCAAAAACAATTTTTTCCTCCCTGACAAAACCTAATATCAATACCACTAGGGTTTAGTCTAACGTTAACCGCGACTGATTAATAGTCTAGCTATTATTACTATTATATAAGCGTTAAACAACACTCTATATAACTCACAATAATATCCCAAATATTTATTTTAAGTTCCTAATAATGTTACTTACTATAATAAAAAGCTATATTAAAAATAGCGTAGGCGTTGCTCACTTACAGCGGGTTTTCTTGAAAACCGGGCTTCGCTTGGAGCAGCGTTTCCGAACCGAAAGACCCTTTTTCTCGGGACTTCGGGAGCCTCGGGGCTTCCTTCGGGTGGCTAGGGGGTTTACCTAGGCTTAGGGGGGGGGGGTTAGGGGCTTAGAGAGAGAAAGTGAAGTTGGGAAGGTGTGAAGGTGTGAAGAATGAGGGAACCCGACACCTCTATTTATAGGGGGCTGGAGGCTATTTCACGTCGTGAAACATAAATTCACGTCGTGACCCGCTGGAGATAGCCAGGCACAGCCTGGTGCTGACACGTGGCATCGCACACAGGGTGGAAATCATCCGATTTTCAAAAATTCATAACTTTCGCATACGAGCTCCGTTTTCGACGTTCTTTATATCCACGCGTAGGTAAAAACAAGATCTACAACTTTCATTTAGACTCTGTCGGCCAATTCTCGATCGATCTTAAATTTAACAGTAGGAGGAGATTAGACGTTAAATGACCGCGAAGAATTCGTAACTCCTTCATACGGACTCCGTTTTTCTGTCTTTTTATCATTGAGTTTCTATTAAGAGATCTTCAACTCTCATTTAGGTTGCATAGGCCAAAAACAGCTCGAACTAAAATTCGAGTTTCGGGTCGTGCACTGTTAGCCAAATCTTAGAAAATTCATAACTTCCTCATACGAAGTCAGATTTGGGCGTTCTTTTTTTTTTTTATGTTATCGGTTTAATGTATACTACAAATTTTGTTTAGATCATTAAGGCTAAAAGGTCTTCTTTCGTAAATTCACGATTTACGTCTCCCGGTGCCGTGCCGGTTTTGCCGTAAAACTTTGACGGGCCATAACTTCTTCGTTATAACTCGGATTTCGGCGTTCTTTATATGTACGGAACCCTTGAGACATATTCTACAACTTGGTTAAGATTATTTATTCTAAATAATGTTTTGTCGAAAATTCATTTTCGACCCCTATTATCTCTAAATTGACTAGCCCGGATCTACGGGCGTTACAATCAATTCCATGGTGGCAAATCATCGGAAAAGATGATGTGGGTTCGGCTGTTTCAAAATGATCAAATTCACATGATTGTAATGAGAATCATCTTCTTCCAAGATCAAATCCAGAAAAGATGGTCAATCCATAAAAGATGAACATTCATCTAATATCTTATTACCATGGTGAACCAACGTAGGAAGCAAAAACAAGAAAACTTGACAAATTACTCGGAATAAATTCAAAGGCAAACATGAATTCGAAGGAAAGAACACATCATAGTGTGTAACCAACCACTGACTCGATTTACTAGGTTCACCGGGGCCCAAGCTCGTCTTCATTGTTATCGAATCAAAAGCAAATACTAGAATCGTATGCACAACGATCAAACCTCAATGTGATGGACCCTGGTGAAAAGCGATATCATAACCTTCGCCTTCAATCATCTTCTAATGGTCTTTGAATCCCTCAAGCTTCTGTTGGGTTTGATGATCAACCAGCTACTGTTCATGGGTATCAGATCAAGTCTTACATGAATTAAATGGAGTCATTAACCCCAAAATCACCATCATTTAAAGCTTTGTATTCTTTAACGAAAGGCCTGGAAAACCAAACCCTATGAGTGAACCAAACAAGGGAATGGTATTGGAAGCTCTAAGACATCCTCAAACACGAGGAAGAGAATCAGAAAACGTAGCAAAGGAAGCGTATGTAGAGAAAGAGAATTTGTTGAAGGTCTTTTTGAGACAGACATCAGAGTTGTAGTTGTTTGCTTGCAGACAATAGGGAAGCAGGGGGATTTTTTATCTGGAGGAAGAAGAAGAATGGAGAGAGAGAGAGAGAGAGAGAGAGAGAAAGAGAGAGAGAGAGAGAGAGGGTGGGACCCCTTGCATATTGAATTTTATTTATTTATTTATATATTTAAAAAAAAGTAATACAAAACCTCATAAATGATCCCTGAGTAGTAAAATGACAAAAATGCCCCTTACTTAACGGCTAATTGGCAACAGAATGAGCCGTAAGGACCAAATGTTAAAAGTTTTGAAACCACATGGACGATCCGTAAAATTTTTATAAATTAAGAACCAAACTTCAGATTTTATAAAACCACAGTACCATTTTTAAAGTTTTGTCTTTTTTTAACAAATTCTGGATCACCAAATCTATTTCCTACCACAAATCTGGATAACGTTGAAATCTATTTGTAACTACTCTCTCTCTCTCTCACACCAGCTAACTCTCTCATTTTTGTTAACAGTGAAAATGGCCGAAGCTTTAGTCACTATTGCTGCGGAGGGGATACTGAAAAGGGTGTTGACTATCGCCGCCAGCGAAATCGCCACTGCTTGGAATTACGAAGAAAAGCTCAACAGCCTCCACCAAAAATTGGAGCTGATTCGGGCCAGATTGCGCGATGCGGAGAAACGAAAGGAAAAAGAGGCTGTGAGGGCGTGGTTGAAACAACTAAAAGATGCAGTGGTCAAAGCTGACGATGTGTTGGACGAGGTTGATTATGAAATTTTAAGGCGTCAGATAAGGAAAGAAGATCAGGTGGCAAGAAAGGTATCGTGTCTTCCAAGCTTAAAAAAGCTTTCATTTCGTAATGAAATTGGTCATAAAATCGAAAGAATCAATGAAGAATTGGATGAGATATTTAAAAATGCAAACGGTTTACATCTACAAATTGATCAACAGCCTGCTGGCACTGTTCCAGATCCAGATCGGGAGACTGTTCCTTATCCAGAAAAATTCAAAATTTTTGGGAGGGATGATGATAAACAACGAATCGTAGAGCTATTAACCGAGTCAAGAAAGGAAGAAGAACTTACAATTTTGCCCATTGTGGGAATGGGTGGTATTGGGAAGACAGCTTTGGCGAAGTTGGTTTACAATGACGAAAAAATCGAGCAATATTTTGATGTGAGAAAATGGTTGTGTGTGTCGGTTAAAGTTAGCATCGTCAAACTTCTCGAAATGATCTACGATCTGTTGCTGGCAAGGAACCTCAGTTGCACACTAAGGTCTATTTAATTGATAGTCTTAAAGAGCTGTTGGCATCAAAAAGATATCTGCTTGTCTTGGATGATGTTTGGGTCGAAGAGAGGCAATATTGGGAAGATTTTAGGCAAGAAATGCTATATGTAAACTCACAAAATGGAAGTGGCATTCTTATCACTACACGAAAACTTGCAATCGGAACTCATGATATGATCAGGGATTCGTGTCATCTAGAAGGTCTTTCCGATGATGAGTGTTGGTCAATCTTTAGAGGAAAAGCATTTGTGCCAGGAAAATCACCGCCTCCAGAACTAGAGGCGATAGGGCGTGAGATTGTGAAAAAATGTTGTGGTTTACCATTGCTATTAAATGTAATAGGTGGCATGTTGGCAAATAACACTGAACTAGAGAAGTGGTCGTCCATCGAAACAAACAACGTTTGGGATATAGAAGAAGAGAATAAAGTTCAAAGGATCTTGGAACTGAGCTTTGATAATCTCCCCAATTCTACAGTCAAGCAATGTTTTGTATCTTGTTCCATCTTTAAGAAAGACAAGGTCATGAAAAGGGAAGAACTGGTCCGACTTTGGATGGCTTTAGGGTTGGTTCATGAGGAAAAAAACAAGGAGATGGAGGATGTCGGAGATGATATTTTTCAGATTTTGGTAAATAATTCGTTGTTCCAAGATGTTCGAAGGGATGAGCATGGTCACATCACTTATTGTAGCATGCATGATCTGGTGCATGACCTTTCATTATCACTTTCAAATCATGAAAGCCGATGTCTGGTGGATGCAACTGATGATATTGCAAGTATGCTTGATGTTACACATCCCTCTTTTTACGAAGAACTGATCGAGGATGATGAATTCGAATCCAATGTTTCTATGTTCATTAAAAGGAAGAGGATGGCTAGAACTGTGCGTAAATTGTCCAGCAAAGTTGAAATTGAGAAGAAATTTCCATTTCAACAATTCAAGTGCATACGAGTCCTAAAACTCGAAGGTTATAAAAGAGAGAAGTTAGACGATTCAATTGGAGGGTTGGTGCATCTCAGGTATCTAGATTTCATGTATACGAGTATCCTTGTTCTTCCTAAATCTATTGGTAAATTATACCACTTGCAAACTCTGAAGTTGCCTGAAGACATTAAGCAGTTTCCAAAAACCATGAGAAATTTGATATGCCTGCGATATCTAATATCTGGCATAAACATTCCTGCCAATATCTTGGGGCAGTTGATTTATCTTCGAAAACTGTCTTCCGTCAAAGTGTTTGGAAGGAAGGGACATGGTATTGAAGAGCTACGCAATTTGAATAACCTTACTGGAACGCTCCGTATTTTCGATCTAGAAAATGTTGAGAGCAAAGAGGATGCTGTCAATGCAAATTTAAGTAGAAAGAAAAACTTAAACAATATTAAATTCAATTGGAGTGGGAACGATGATGAAGATGCCAACCGAAATGATGAAGATGCCAACCGAAACGACAAGGATGTATTGGAAGGCTTGCAAGCCCCTAGAGATGTGAAAAAGTTGACATTTAGCAATTTTTCAGGTGATAATTTTGCAGAATGGGTAACGAAGATGGCTATTGATATTGAAAGGAAATGGACACCCCTTGACAAGCTCGTGGAGATCAGATTATCTGGATGTAGGCGCTGCCTCTCTCTTCCAATGCTTGAGCACCTGCCTCATCTTTGGGATCTGACTTCCTTCCCTCAAGAAATGTTTGACTGTTTTTCCTTCTTAAATGACTTGAAACTTGGTCCGTTCTCAAAGGAGCTGGATTCTTTCCCAAGTCTCCAAGGCATCGAGAAGTTAAGGAACCACCTTCACTCGTTAATATTGTGTGGTGTGGATCAGTGGGAGTCGATACCTGAACAAATACAACACCTCACCTCACTGACTAAGTTAATCATAAGTGGATTCAGAATGCGAGAACTGCCCAAGTGGTTAAAAAACATGTCATCTATCCGAACATTAATTTTCTATAATTGCAAAGGGCTGAATGTAGAAACATTTAGACAGGGAGCACCGCGGGAAGCAACATGTGTCATACTACAATTTTAAATATGTTAATTATGTTGTATCACTCATTCCTCCTGTTACTCACTAATAAACTCTCTTTTCATTTTCACCTCCCTTGTGATCCAATTGGTACTGAAACATTTGTCTTGTTCAATAAGAGAAGTACAAAAGAGATGTAAAAGTCTAAACATTAATTTTATAAATTTGATACTTACACGTTATACTAAATTACTAAATATCTCAAAACTCCTCTCACTTATTCCTTACAACTATTGACTTTTATTTGCAATTGCTGGACCAAATTTTCAACATTCAGTAGCGCTTAGTATTTTTTTCATAGATAGTTCATCATTAGACCAGTTCACTGGATAATGGTTCTCGTTCATTGTAACTGATTTCTACTAGACTACCAATATGTTTAATTGCAATATAAGATTTCAAAATTTCTCATCCATTCTTTGACTTGATCTGCATAAACCATCGGTATAATGTTCCTTAGGATTATACACTTATCAATGCTGTCAATATTTCTAATTTTAATGACGTATTAAATTTAATATCTTATGAACACAAATAACAGTACTCAAGATGTAATGTTTAAACTGGCTGGTTAAGAATTTATTGCATGGTATTGGACTTAGCACTGCTAGGAAATGGATATATTCGGATTGAGTATAATTTATTATTTATAGTTTAAAAAGAGTGAACTGTTTTTCTGGATTTCCGATTGATGAATAAGGAAAATGGAAAAAGATTCAACTTCGTTTTCAGTTGGACAATAAAACAGATAGCTAAATGTTGCTAGTGACTACAGTCAGTGATGAAAAAAAAACAAACTTTATTTTATCATCATTACCGATGAAAACACCAAATTTCAAGAAAACAGAACAAGCCAAATACAAATAAATACAAAATAAATAAAAATTAAATATAAACAAAAACAAAAACAAAAACTTGTCAACCAAAATCAACATGTAGTGTTGCATTTATTCCAAAACATGAGGGACAGCAAACACATACAAATTAACCACACAAAGGTTAAACACTTGTACCCCTACACATGTATGGTTTTGATTTACCTTTGTGAGGTTAATTGGTAAGTCTATGTTGTCCCCACTTTTTTTAGAATACATACATGATACAACACTACATGTTGATTTTGATGGACATTTTTGTTTATGTTTCATTTTGGTGCAGTTTTTCCCTTTATAAAACTGCATGGTTCGGTTTTTCATGTAATTTGGTTTTCAGTTTTTGAATGCAGTTCAATATCTAGTTGTTGCGGTTCGGTTTTTAAACTGCATATATGTGGTTCGATTTTTTTTTTCGGGGGTTCAGTTTTTAAAAACCATGCACCATTGTTAATTTGTTGTTTGCTTTAACTATCCAAAAAAAAGTGTTTCTTAGAAGCAATTACAACTATTAGCAACTATCCAATCATTTCAATTAGCCATTGCAACTATCAGTCAACTATCCGACACATATCGATTATCAACCATGAAAACTATGAAATCTATTTAACCAAATAATCGATCCTATATAATATTGCTAAAGAATGATTGATGTTATTACTCTTTATAGATTAGTGAACTAAATAACCAACCATGAAAACTATGAGCAAGTAGCATACAAACGATCAGATCAAATTTTATATAAATGATGTACCTCTCTACTTAACAACCTCCAACTATTTAATCCTACAACTTTATACCAATTAGTTTCAACATAGGTTGTATTCACTCCACCTGCCAATAATATATGAATGTTTGTATGGCATTGATTCAATAAACCAACTTTGTTAGACTAAACAAATTTGTTAAAAAGAAGATCAGAACAAAAGTTCATTTCAATCTCAATTCCAATATAAACTAGTAGCATAAGCTGGAATATCTTGCTCGTGTCTTATAGAAAATTGTCAAATTACTTTTTATCAAATTTTTTTTACATGTCATTTAACATTTTATACCTTATCTGGATGGAATCAATGTTTCAAGTTGTTATTACCAGGTTTAATGAGCAGAAAACTAGAAATTAAGAGCGTTTTTCCAATAGTTACAACCTAAACAGAAGTTTAAATCTTGAAATACGGTTTCCTTTAATACATGGAGAAAAAAAAATGTAAAAAAAAAAAAAACACGCAGCTTCTAAGCAACCAACAATGGCCAGAACACAAATTAGATTATATGAAGCCATGATTCAAATTATTACAAATTTATGCAGCCAAATTGATAAACTATAGCATAAACTGGTATCAACATGAAAAATGGCTACCTAGATAGGTAAAAAAATCCTGGTAAATTAAAGGTTAAGTTAGCTTTATCTTTGCCAACATGATCCTGATCCTGTCAAAGGCATTTAGTGAGGCTCTCGTCTTCTGTACATTAAGTTTTCTTACCCAATAACTGCTCACTCACTTGTTCTTAACATCTGCAATTAATCAATATTCAGGTATCTAACAACACACAAGAACAACATGTCAGGTGCATCTAAAATAACATATTAATCAAAACAAGTGCATCATAAAAAGCATGCTAAATAAGACTTCTTCCATATAAATAAACCCATTTAATGCATGAGTGTCCTTGGAAATATGTTGAGGAACAGAATCTGTTATTTTCCAAAACATTTCTGAAGTATCCTCCTACTAATTTGAACATGGTAAATATCAAATCACTAAATTAACATAGCTCTGTGATATTAAAAGTGGTGGGTTTTGGCAACAGCCAAAAGGCCTAAAAAATGAACATGGTTGCAACAGCCAAAGTACAATTTTGCTCACTATAGTTCCTAATATACCCCTTAGCTCAACAAATATAAAACATAACATAATTGTGTGGAAAATACGAATTAGGGCTTCACAATATAATGAAATCACTCAAGACGGAGGTAAATTATGTAACAAGGAAATCCAATCAAGCATATTAAAAAAAATCACATCATTCAACATGAAATACCCTCAATCTAAATCGGATCAGATTGTCAAAATCATAGTCACAACTGTGACAACCGTCAAATTTCGGTCAAGGCAAAGTCAAACTAAGTCAACAAGTCAAACCGGTCAACTCCCTTAACCCTTGTATGTTAGGGTTTACGTTATGTAATAACTGTACAATTCGCTACTTTAATGAGAAAACATCATTTGGAAAATTCATGTGTTTGATTTTCCTTAGCCTTTACAGTGCTAAACAACATTGGAAATTTAATAAACCCTACTCAAGATTACTTGACGCTAATAGGATCAAAACCTATACACTACGATATAAATTGACGTTAATAGCAACATAGTATAGTACAACGTTATAACTATAATCAAATTAAATTATGATACCATATTAAAATCAAATCAAAGTATAATGCTCTAATTAAATTAAAAGAATCAAACTTGAATGCTATAATTAAACTTCAAATCAAAGTAGAATGTTATAATCAAATAATAACCTATCTTTTATAAAACTCCCTTTTTTATAAACTTTACATTAAATTTTATAAAACTCTATTTTTATAAACTTTTACATTAAATTTTATAAAAACTCTTATATTAATTATGTAAAAGATGCTTGTGTTAGTGGAAAATTATGAAGACCACCAAAAGCAAAAAGATTATTCCCATGGTCTCCCACTCATACCTCCCATCCACTTTCCTTTCCTTTTTCTCCCAACATATTATTCTCTTCACCACTTAAACCTTCTCTATTCTTTCTCTCACTCTCAATCTCGAAATTTCCTCCAAGAAATACTCATATTCCATCCAAGAACAATCTATTATACTCAAATCTTCATCCCTCTTGAAGCATTCATCAAGGTATGTTGTTAAAAGTTTCAAATTCATACAAGAAACAAATTAAATCCACCAAAATATCTAAAACTCATTTTATGCATAAATCTGATTTTTCTCAGAATACCATCAATAAAATAAGAAGTTCTGGAAATTTTCAGAAAATAACTTATTTTTATTGAATTATTATAGTTATTGCAATAAAGTAGGGCAATAATTCACATAAAATACTTGTTGCATTCAATAAATTCTGAGAAAATTCTGGGATGACCTATATATTGATTAAACATGATATATGAAGTTTCATGCATTTATATTACTGTTTACTATTATTTATGATTTTATTGATTAATTAATAATGAAATATATAAAAAATACTTCCCATAGTCACAAACATCTGAAACTTATACACTGGGCTCTATATCATGTTATAAAACTATGGTTAATTTTATATAATTTTTGGGAATAATTTACTATTTCTCCCGAATTTTGTGTTGTTTAATCATTAAAATATTAAATAAATACTAAAACAGTTCAGAAAAATATAAAAATTTTACAGTAATTCATATTGTATGAAATAATGATTTTCTAATAATTTCATATTTTTTCAACACTGTTTACTATTTGAAACCATTTTCCTAAGTATTTAAGCATGTAAAAATGCATTTTAATGATTATTTCATATAAATAATTGTTAAAATCTGTAAATAATTATAATTGGGCAAGTTATTATTTTAGTAAGAAATTATTAAAATCTGGCCTAAATTGAAAATATAAATTAATTATGCAAAGTAATTAATTCAATTTAAAATTCATTTAACAAATAAATACCTTAATATTATAATCAAAATGAATTATTATTAATTCATCTAATATAAGAATATGTGTCTAATTATTTGTATTAATACTCCATTCTCGTTTAGCAGTTCCTAAACCAAAACTATTAATTATATTAGGTTCTAAGCCATTTTGACCCGAACCGTCTATCGTACGACACACGCATTTCGTTTTGGGACTAAAGTGAGTAATCTACCCCATACTTTATAATTTTCAATACTTTTGGGGTGTATCATGTGGTTCTAATATGTTTCAACTTCATTTTATTGTTTTATCACAATTGAGACATTGTTGGGACATTTATACGTGAGTCATTAATTGTATAACTATTGTTTGTTTACGCTACATGTACTTGTAGTGCATTATCATTTTTAGTCTAATCTCCATGACTATGCCCGTATTCTTGAGGTACGTATGGACAATAATAGCG